GAGGTGGAAAGCTGACATGTTCGACTCGTGGTCCCCTCTTGGGCCTCTCATGGGGCTTGGGCCGTCTTGCGCGGTGTTGGAGGCCTTCTTGGGCCGTCTTGGGGCGTCGCAAAGCCAAGGAAGCGACAACGCCAAAATCTATCAAAGACCTAAGGGCGCTGAGTGAATTCTGCCTCTCCGGGCCCTCTTGTGAAGTCCATTTGGTACGTTTTGGAGGCTTCTTGGGCCTTCTGGGGGCCATTTTGGTTGCCTTGGAATGATCCTTGGGCGTCTCGGGGCCATCTTGGACCGTCTTGGCGGCCTTTTTGGGCCCTCGAGACGCTCAACAAGTCATGCGAGAATGCACCATAGCCCAGGGAACCGCGCCAAGTCCAAGATTATGTAAGAATTTAAGGCCCAGGCCTCTTAAGAAACTTTTGAGGAGTGAGGATTGAGACTTGAAGGATGAGGCAAAGGACTTGAGCACACGCCCACTCCGTGCCCAGCGGCACGGGGGCGGAACACGCACAGCATCTTTTGTGCAACATATTGTGGAGGCCCATGCCAAGAAACACCCGGCTTGCCTCCAGGGTGGGTTTCTTGGGTTGCGATGGTTCTGCGATGGAGGGCGCGACGGTCCCACATCAAATGTCAATGGACGTCTTGGGGTCTCAGGGTTGGGTTTCTTGTGGAAGGTTTCTTTTGGACGGGCCCCCATTGTATACTCCCCTTTCTAGAAGAAGTCAAAGTATACCTCTATCCCCGGGTTATCCCCCCATTCCGTATTGCAGTGTGCGTCGGAGTTTGCCCCAATGTCCATCCGAAATCTGAATTTATACCATCCCCGTTACACTGGTACAGACCCCCCCGTGATCCTCTGCAGAGAACACTATGCGCTCGCATTCGGAGATCACAAGTCACAAGTTTTCAATATTCCCTTGCAAGAGAAACATTTGACGAAGTGCACCCGCGCGCGTCGTCGCGCGGGCATGCCGCAGTCTTCCAAAAACAAGTATCTTCGTAAGGATTTCAAAATGGAGTATCCACAAAAATACCAAAACGCCTGGTTTCGCAATGCGGGCTTCCAAACAACCATGCGCTCGCGCCGTTGCGAGTTGTTAAGACAATATCGGTTGCTTTTGATTGCTAATGCTACGAAACGGGCTTCGCGCGCGCGTTTCTCAATCGTTCCAACGCCATTGCGCGCACTGTCAGGAGAGTCCGATTTGCACAAATAGGACGAAGTGCGCACGTGCGTCTTCGCGCGCGCATGCTGCAATCCTCCAAAGAACTATAGGTTCTGGTTGGGCACGAACCGTGTCAAATAGTTCCTGTGGGCCACCTTCGCGCGTCGCTTGCGCGCGCATGTCGAACTTCTTTTTAAAACCTTCATCACCGACGCGAGGACACCGTCACCGTCGTCGGCGTGATCAGCATTGGCGCCGTCATTGGCCGTGCCGTCGTCGCTTTCAGTAGCGCCACCAGCATCGCCTGCGTCATCATATCATAATCGTGTCTACCGTTGTCGATGTTGCCATGATACCGCGCCCGCCCAAGTCGCCGACTCGCACTGAAGGGCCCGCTGGGATGTGCCCAGCGGTCCGCGCCCTCGGCTGCGTCGGCCGCTCCAAATTAGCTGGCCGTTGCGCCGCGTGCGTGCGCGGGTTGGCGGGGCCGCAGGGATGCACCAGCCAACACCGGACACTCATCGCAATCGCCTCCGCATTGGTTTCGCGAACCAAGTGGCTGGCGGGTTTGTGGGACGATTGCGCGAGCAGTGGTGTCGACAACTTCGACTTGATCGTCGGTAGATTGCACACCACTGCTGCGATTTCGTATTCATTCTGCACGCCCGTCCATCCGAATTATGAAGTCATACTATCCCCGCCATGCCGATACCACTTCCCCTGCCATCCTCTTTGCAAAAAGAATTACGCGCGCGTTCTCGTTTATGAAAAGCCATATGTATTCAATAATCCTTGTGCAAAGAATGAGACGAAGTGCACACGAGCGCGTCGTCGCGCGCGCATGCCGGAACCCTTCAAGAACCTTCGGTTTCGGAAGGATTTCAAAATCGAGCTTCTAGAAAACATGCAAAAACATTTGTTTCGCAGGACTGGTGTTTTAAAAGAGCTTACGCGCGCGGTTTTGCTAAATCTTTCAAAATGCATCGGTGTTTTCAGGATTTCAAAAATGCTTCCAAACGGACTTGGCGCGCGCGTGTCGAAATCTTTCGAACGCCCTTGCGCGCGTGCCGCCGCGAGAAACCTTTTTTTGCGAAAAATGGGACGAAGTGCGCACGCGCGCGTCGTCGCTCGCGCATGCCGAAATCCTTCCAAAAACGCTCATTTTCGGAAGGATTTCAAAACCGTGTATTCCGACAAACACGGTTTCGCCACTCGGATTTTCAACAAAAGCGTGCGCGCGCGCTCTTGCGTCGACGATGTCGTCGTCGCCTTCCTCCCTCCTTCGTCGTCGTCGTCGCCGTCGTCGTCCTCTGTTTCTTCGTCGTCGTCGTCTTGGCGTCGTCGTCGTTGTCGTCGTTGTCGTCGTCGTTTTCGTCGTTGTCGTGGTCGTCCTTCCTCCCTCGTCGTCTTCGTCGGCGTTCCGTCGTTGTTCCTCCTATTTCGTCGCCGTCCTCGTCGCCGTCGTCGTCCTCCCTCCCCCCTCGTCGTCGTCGTCTTCGTTGGCGACGTCGTCGTCGTCGTCGTCGTCCTTGTCGGCGTCGGCGTCGTCGTCGTCGTCGGCGGCGTCGTCGTCGTCGGCGTTGTCATCGTCGTTGTCGTCAGCGTCGGCGTCGTCGTCGTCGTCGGCGTCGGTGTTGTAGTCGTCGTCGTTCTCGTCGTCGTCGAAGTCGTTGGAGACGTGGTCGGCGTCGTCGTAGTAGGTGCCGGCGGCGTCCTCGTCGTTGTCGTTGTCGCTGTCGTCGTCGGCGTCGGTGTCGCTGCCAAGTGCCATGTGGTACCCACCGTCACGGTCTTAAGAGGTCTTGCGACCAAGTTGCGGGTGGGAGGGTGGGATGTTTGCATGAGCAGTGGAGAGGACATTTTCAAGTTGAGCAAGTGAATGTTTCTCCTTTCTAAAAGACGAATCGACTCCACCCCCCCTCCCCGGAGTTAACGGTCCCTCCTCGGGTATTCCGATTTTCATATTCTGCACTTCCGTCCACTCTAAATATGGATTCGTACTGTCCCAGCCAGGCCGGTATCACTTCCCCCCGCCATCCTCTGCAACAAAATTATGTGCGCGCGCACTCGTTGATCAAAAATCATAAGTTCCCAAGAATCCGCTGCAAAGAATGAGACTAAGTGTACACGCGCGCGTCTTCAAAAATTCGTGCTTTCGGAAGGATTTCAAAATCGAGTTTCCAACACACATACAAACACACAGGGCTTCGCAAACACTGAAGATCTAAACAAGCTTACATGCGCGCTTTTGCGACATCGTAAGAAAAGCATCAGTGTTTTCAAGATTTTCAAAAGATGCTTCCAAACGGGCTTCGCGCGCGCATGTGGAAATCTTTCGAACGCCCTTGCGCGCATGCCGAAATCCTTCAACAACCTCTGGTTTCGGAGGGGTTTTAAAATCGACTGCCCCAAACAACATACAAAAACATATGGTTTCGCAACACGGGTGTTCATAAAAAGCATGCGCGCACGCTCTTGCGTCCTCGTCGTCGTCATCGTCGTCGTCGTCGCCGTCCTCCCTCCTCCATCGTCGTTGTCGTCGTCGTCGCCATCGTCAACCTCTGTTTCCTCGTCGTCGTCGTCCTCTTTGGCGCCGTCGTGGTTTCCGTCGTCGTTGTCGCCGTGGTCGTCCTTCCTTCTCCCTCGACATCGTCGTCCGTCGTCGGCGTCTCGTCGTCGTCCCTCCTATTTCGCCGCCGTCGTCGTCGTCATCATCGTCTTCCCTCCTCCCTCGTCGTTGTCGTCGTTGGCGTCGCCGTCCTCCCTCCTTCTTCGTCGCTCGCGTCGTCGCCATCCTCCCTCCTCCCTCGTTGTCGTCGCCGCCGTCGTCGTCCTCCCTCCCCCCTCGTCGTCGTCGTCGGCGTCGTCGTCTTCGTTGGCGGCGTCGTCATCGTCGTCTTCGTCGTCGTTGTCGGCGTCGTCATCGTCGTCGGCGTCGTCGTCGTCGGTGTCGTCGTCGTCGTTGTCGTCGTCGTCGTCGAAGTCGTTGGAGACGTCGTCGGTGTCGTCGTAGTAGGTGTCGGCGGCGTCCTCGTCGACGTTGTCGCTGTCGTCGTCGGCGTCGGTGTCGTTGCCAAGTGCCATGTGGTACCTACCGTCACGGTCTTAAGAGGTCTTGCAACCAAGCTGCGGGTGGGAGGGTGGGATGTTTGCACGAGCAGTGGAGAGGACAGCTTCAAGACAGTCAAAATGAGTTGCACCACGTAGCTTGCTCCACCTAGATTGGAGAACCCATAGTACGATAAGCACACTGTATGGGGTTTGCGTTGGCTAGCATATAGATCTCGGCGTCCACGAACCGATGGCGGCACGTTGTGCAACACGAAAGCGATTCGCGAAGAAATGAATTGTCCCATGAAACACGATGTCGGAGCTCAGGGCCTTTTCGCTGGCCAGGCGATCTGCGGCCCACAATCGGCCTTTCAGGGACCTGTGTATCGGCGAACAGAAAGGGGTGGCGTGAGGGGGGTGGTTTTCTCATCAGGCAGGGTGCTCAATAAACCTTTTCCAGAGTCCACTGGCTCCTATTGCTTTTTGAGAAGCTCCCCCCCCCACCCTGCCAACCTCACAGGTTGATCGGCCATGCGGACGGTCTTGGCGGGCGGACCGTAACTGACGGTTCGTGAGGGGGGTGGCCTTGCGGGAATGCCGGAACTCGTTTTCGCCCTCTTCGGGAATTGTCGTGCGTACGTGCCCCAACCCGCCCGTTGGGGCCCGTCCCGCCCGTTAGCGTCAGGCCCGCCCTGCCCGCCTGGCCTCGACGACGACCGACGACGACGACGCCCGACGACGACAACAACGGCGATGCCGAGCGGTGGCCTGCCTGCGGGCCAGGTTGTGCTCCAGCGCACCCCGCCGTGCGACTGGGCCGCAGCGCTGCCGCGAGGGCCAGGCGGCCACTGGCCGCCGCCGGAGGCAAACCCCGCGCGCCACGCAGCGGCGCGGCAGGGCCTCTGGCGGTGACGAGGCGCGCGCGTGCGGGCCCCCGCCCGAGTCCAGGCCACGCAGTGGGGCCCTGCGCAGAAATCCCGCGGAGGATGGCGTCGCCTCGCCGATCCAGAGCCCAGGCTCCCTCCATCCCGACATCGCGATGCGGCGCCCATCTGTTCGTGCCCTCTGTAGGCGGCTTCCACCAGGGGCCAGACAAGGCGTCCTGGAGTTACGTTTTCAAGGATGAAAGGTTCGAGGCGCAATGTTGAAGTATGCCGTTCTGGGCTTTTGTTTGGGCCTTCGAGAGACTTCCCGTCGCCATGGGTGGATCCCCCTTTGAAGTCTCTGCCACAACGCACCACGAAAGATGCCCAGGGCCAGAATGTTCTGAGTCGCCGTGAGAACGGAGAGGCCCAGCGCCCAACGATGTCGTTCCTCCTGGACTTCAGGGGTCCAGCGGATCCACGCGTACTCGCTGGGGTCCGTGCACGCGTGTAATTTCATCCTGTTTTTTTTGCTCACGTCGCGTGAGCACGATCCCGCGCTCCGCCGCGACGGTTTCACGAATCCGCGCTGCCATGTTGGATGTTTACGTGAATGTGTGGGTTCCTGGGAGGGCACGTTGGCTCTGGGGTGGCATGGTCATGGCCTGCCAGATCAAAGACCGTGGCGCCACGCCAAGTAAATCCCTCTGTGGACGCAGTTGGCAATGCCATCCATACACGTATGTTTGCCGCCGCAGTATGCGCAAGTTCTATTAATGTTTCGGGTGTTTGGTTATGTATTTCTCTTCCTCCGTCGAGTTCAAGGGAATCACGCGGTGATAGCTTGCATCAGCCATCATCCGTAATTATCGAAGCGTGCGGAACCAATGCAACGTCCTGCCACTCCGTGGTATGCGCTAAAATGCGCTGCGGTGGTAGGACATGATACCAGACTGTCAAAATCTGCCGCCGCCGGTAACGCCATGCCGCTTCTCCCTACCTATTATATTGTCTGTTGTTCGTGCCAGGTCTGGAATCGGTCTGTCGATATTGTCTCCAGATGTCTCCCACTGTCTCTCGTTGTCTCCCGTTGTCTCCGGTTGTCTCCTGTTGTCTCCCATTGCCACTCGTGGTCTCCCATTGTCGATCCCTATCTCTAGATGTCCCTATCCCTTCTCTTTTCTCTGTCCCTACGAGCCTGTTTTTTTTCAGGACTAGGCGACAGTGCCCGTGTTCGGCCCTCTCCTTCCCTCCTGGTTACGTCACGCTATTTGGTCAACATGTGCAAAGATTTCGTGTGGATTCTTCGTGGATTTCTTAAGGATCCCCGGACACCCCCCGATCTCTGGGGGGATAAGCAGGGGGGAGACAGAAACGGAGGCGAGGGAGGGGTGAGGGAGCAGAGAGGAGGAGAAGGGAGGAGAAAGGAGGAGGAGGAGGAGGAAGAGGAGGAGGAGGTGGAGGGGGAGCGTGCATATTTGTTCACATTTCGTCGTCGTCGGCTTTTGGGTATTCGGTGGGGCCGTAGGGCCCCCGGAAGCTTCTGGAGGTTGCTAGAGGCCCCCGGAGGCTGGCGGCGACGAGTCTCCGGTTGATGCGTCGGCCTCCATTCACCTCGCAAGCACGTTGCGTTGCTTTCATGCGTGCGCCGCCCTTGGCCAATGTGGTGCTCTCTGGCGCGCTGTCGTGAACGCAGGCCTCTGCGGTGCGCATAGGGGCGCTTCGGTGCTCACGGCGGTCCCCCGCAGTGATGTGATCGGGAGGGGGGCCGAACCCCCCCCCGATAACGGCCGTTATCGCGAAGAGAATGGCTCAAGTTCGATCCCTGTCCTTTTTGCGATCCCTATCCTATCTCCCTACCCCCATCCCCTTCCATGATTATCCTTATATCATGTATCCCCAGCTCAAAACCCCATCGTGACAGTGTAAAGCTTTTTGCATGCGCCGACGCCAGGCCCCCCAGGTGTTGCAGCCACCGATGCCGCCGTCGCGCAGTCCGTCGTCGCTGTCGTCGCCGCTGTCGCCACCGCTGTCGGCGTCAACGTCGGCGTCGGGGTCGCTGCCGCGCCCACCGTCGACAACCCTCGCCGTGCCACCGCCGCCGTCGTCGTCGCCCCGGCGGCGCCCCCCTCGCAGGGCGGCGGCCGCGGCGGGGCCCCTCGGCGCCAGGCGGCGCCTCGGCGCGGCGCGCCGGAGCCGAGCGGGGTCCTCGGGCGGCCGCCGCGGAGCGCCCCTCGAGGCAAAGATGCTGCGCGCGGCGACGGTGGCGACAGCGGCGGCGACGTCGGCGGCGACGACAGCGGCGACGACTCGGGTGTGCTTGTGGTCGCCGCGAGGCTTCCCTGGGGCCGAGGACGCGCGGGGCGCGCGCACACGTCGTAGTCGTCATCTCGAGGATCGAGAACGGATGGTTTATCATTTGTACCCAACAGGGCCTTGCACTTGGGGTTTCTTACTTCCCTTCTTAGGAACTGGCCCCGAATGTCGGCCTGGCGGCTCCGTGCTCGCCGTCGTCGCCCCGTCGCCGCCTGTCGTCTGGGCATGATTGTTGGTCTGGCGTCTCAGTGCTCGCCGTCGCAGGGCTCACCTGGACTCCTCCAATTCGATTCGATTCGATTTCGATGGCTTCCAATTCCGAGTTGATTCGACTTCGAAGTCCGATTTGGTTTTCGATTTCTCAACGGAGGGTTACTAGCTACTAGCCTGCCGATTTCCGCCGATTTGTTCTCCTGTCTCGGCTGCCGATTTCCCCCGATCCGATGAATTTCGATTGCTTGTCAACCTGTTCGATTCGATGTTGGGGTCTCCTGAAGATTGTACCACATAGGTCGTACCACATAGATGCCACCACATCGAATGCGCCACGTAGTTTGCATCATATACATTCCTCAAGACTGATTGCACAACATATACGGATCCAAATATGCACACTGTAGATTGAGCCGCCTATATTGCACCTCGCGTACTGTACAACATTTAGTGCACAACAAATACTGCACCACATAGATTGCTTCACAAAGATTGCCCCACCTGGATTGCACAACATATAACGCAATAGACACTGTTTGGGGTCCACGCTGGCTAACATCATTGCCGTCTGTCTTTCGGCCAATCCAGGGGCCTCTTAGAGCGTCGTCGGGGCCTCTTTGGGGTCTGGCGAAGCCTCTTGCGGGCCTCCTTGGGGACTCCTTTGGGCGATGTGAAGGTTTGCGATGGGTGCCGGAGTCCTTGCATAGGCAGCATGAGAGCTGCTGGAGTGAAGTGAGTCTCCTCTTGAGCATTCTAGTGCAGCTTGTTGCAGCAGGCTTTGAAGCAAGGCTAGGATCTTCGGTTCGTGTTCCCCCTTTTGGGCCCTTCTTGGGGCACAATTTGGAACCTTCTGTGCTGTGTTGGGCGCCTCTGGGGCAGTCTTGGGGCCCTTTGGGGCCGTGTTGGAGCCCTCCTGGGGGCCTTCTGGGCCGCCTGGGGGAAATCCTGGGGGCCACTGGGGCCGTCTTGGAGAGTCGGGAGATCGAAAAGTCGATTGCCCCAAACTCATTGAAGAACCCTCGGAAACCAACCGATTATGGCCTCTCGGGGCCCTCTTGGGAAGACTCTCTCGGCTCTATTGGGGCGTCTCGGAGGCCTCTTGGGCCGTCTTGGGACCATCTTGGGCGTCTTGATGCGATCGTTGAGCATCTCGGGGCCCTCTTGGACGGTGTTTTGAGGCCTCTTCGGGCAATGTTGGCCCCGTTTTGGTGCCCTTTCGTGACCAACAACATAGCGAGAAACTGTATCGGATCCCAGGGGGAGCGCGAGAAGCCCCTGTGGATTTGGCAATGGGGCTCCGGGCCGCATGAGACTCGTCAGGAGTGAGGACTGAGGCTTAGAGGATTAGGTGAAGGGGGCACGCCCGTTCCGTGCAGCGTGTTTCTAGGAATATATGTTGTGCAGTCGGTGTGGACCAGGAGATGTGGTGCAATAGATGTTGAAACATCTACGTGGTGCAGTCTATGATTGAATATATGTATATATGGAGCAATCTTTGTTGTGTAATATATGTGGTGCAATACATATATATATATATATACATACATACATACATACATACATACATACATACATACATATACATCTATACATATGTGTATACATATGGAACAATGTGGTCCGTGATCTCTGCGGCGCAATCGATGTCGTGCGCAACACATGAATTGCAATACTTGCTGTGCCATCGACGTCGTGCAATATGGTAGATGTAACATCGTGAAGCGAGGAGGGGAGCGGGCAGGCGGCCGCACCGCGATCGTCGCGGCCGTACTGCTCAAGCTCCGAGGCCCCAGGGGCTTCCGAGCGGAGGCGGCCGGGCCGTGGATGGACCCCGCGAGCCTCATCCTCCGCGAGGCGACGCGGGGATTCGCCGCCGGCGCGGCGGCCTGGGGTGCCGCCTGGGGAGCGCAGTGCCCGGCGTGCCCGTCGCCGCCTCCGTGCCCTTCCTGTTCTTGTACCTGCGGGCCGCGGCTGGCGTGCCCAGGCGGCTCGGTGTCGGAGGTCCAGCGGCCCGTGCCGTTGGGAGTCAGCCTGGCGTGGCTGGCCTGCCTGGCCGCGGTGGGCGCCGCGGGCTGGGCCCTTGGCAAGCGGGGCGCACCCGCGACACCAGGGGCCGCGGCGCCGGCGGGCGCTCCTGGGCGGCCGCCCGCGGCGGCCTTGGAGGCCCCCGCCTCAGCGACGCAGCTGGCGGCGGCGCAAGTGGCGGCTCTGCGGGCCTCGAAGCTACAGCTGACACGCTAGCATGGCGGCGGTGGCCGCAGCACAGCATCCGATAGCGGCTCTGGGTCTGCAGGAAGGAGACTTCATCCTAGTGGAGTACGCGGGGTACGCCAACGTGTGGCACGAGCGACTGGTGGTGCTCGTGCCTGACGGCTCGGGCCTGGCCTGCACTCTCACGCCGGATGACGACAGCTACGAGGAGGACCTCTTCGCCGCCGCGGAGGTGCGCCGCTGGCTGCCGTGCGAGGGCGGTCGCATGGGCGCCTACCATCAGCTGCAGCTGGGATGCACGTGCACGGCTTCAGGGGCGTCCCAGCGCCCGCGCGGGTCGCACAGGTGCTGGCTGCTGGGGCTGCGAGGATGGGCATCGCCCTGGGCGCTGAGGACGCAGCGGTGCCCAACCTGCGCGTCGCTGCTGGCGGAGCTCGCCCTCGGCCTGGCGCCGCGGGCGTCGCGCCCGCCGGTGGCGCGGCGGCTGCGGCGCACGCTGCCGGCGGTGCGGGGCCGCCCGCTGGGATGCTGGTTGCTGCCCCCCCCGCAGCTCCCGCGGCAGGGATTGGCGGGCCCGCCGTGGCGGCTGGAGCGGCTGGCTTGGCCGCTGCGCTCGCTGGCGGCCCAGCGGCGCCCGTGGCAGGCGCCCCAGCGCTGGCGGGCCCCCCGCCGCCGCTGATGGCAGCGCCCGCAGCTGCCAGGCCAGCTGCCGCAGCTGCAGGCCTTGGAGCCGCAGCGGCTGCGGTCGCGCCAGCTGATGCGCGCATCCAGCCCGTCACGCACGATTTGCAGGGGCAGCGGCACGCGGACTTTCGCAGCGCGGTCATGAACATGACTGAGGGGGCCTTTTCCCGACTGGCCGGTCAGGGGTCCGCGGACGGCGCAGTGGGTCCTAAAGTTCATGGAGGCTCATGGCGGCACGCCTACGGGCCGCCACTCGCGCTGGCTCTCGGAGTCGCGCTTGCAGGGGCACGAGCCTGGCGTCGACGAGCACGAGCGAGCCTGCAGGACCCTCGAGCGCATGGTGATCTACGACCAGCTGAATGTGGCCAACCTCGCCTCGGGCGAGATGCTGGCCAGAGCCGTGCAGCTCCAGGGGGAGCGCTACAGGGACCGCGTCGCCCCGGCTGCTGACTCGGGAAGCCTCGACGCCCACGCGCTGCTCGGCACGGACCAGCTGCGCGGGAACGTGTGCGTCGCGCCGGCGCTGCAGGACCACATCGAGGACGAGCTTACGAAGATGAATGCTTACAGGATGGAGCAACGCAAATCCAGAGAGGAGCGCGACTTGGCCCGCAAGAATAAGAAGGGGGCCAAGGGCGACAAGGGCTCTGGCAGGGACGACAAGTAGCCTCGGAGAGGGGAGCGGAGATGGGCGCCCGCTCCCGCCAGCCAGCCCATTTCGCCCCGACGCACCAGCTCACGGGCCACCTCGGCCCTCGCGCCGTGCGGACCTCGGAGGGCGCCAGCGGGACATCTTCCCCTTGCCGTCCGTGGCCCGCCCTCGCGAGGGCTCCAGTTTTGGGCGCAGCCGCCGCGGTCGCCGCCAGCTTGCTGGTGACGTTCCTTGGCAAGACTGGGCCAACGACGCCATCGACGTCATGAACGCTGTATGTGCTCCTGGGGCCCAGCCGTCCGCCCTCGGTATCTCTGAAGGCCAGCGGGCGTCTCTCGTGCACATCCAGTCCACCTTCGCCTGCCTCGAGCCGCTGGCCGAGGGCGAGGGTTTTCCCGATGGAGCTCTTTCGGATTTCCTCTCTGGCTCCCCGCTGTACTCCACGGGGGGGCTTCGCCGACCCTACTCGCGGGACCTGATCTCGTGGCCCGACGTTGGCGACGACCCCGTGCCGCTCACGAAGGTCGTGGCTGGCCCGGGCGCTCAGTGGCTTAGGGCATGGAGCTCGAGCATGCTGCGTGGTCGCGAGGAGGCTGGCGCCCTTCTGCAGCAGGTTTGCCCTCGTGGGCCATATGTCGACCCCCGCCTTGCCTTCTCTCCGGCGACGTTCGCCGACTTCCTCGCGGAGATGTTGAAGCGGAAGATGATTTGCTTCCAGGCGGAGGACCCCAGCATCAAGCCGATTGGAGTCTTCTGCGTGGCAAAGAAGAGCAACCGTCTACGGCTCATTTTTGATACTCGTACAGCGACTGCGTACTTCACGGACTCCCCAGCCACCACGTTGCCGAGCGCTGCCGCCTTCTCGAACCTGGAGGCGCCCGGAGGCAAGGTGGTCGTCGCGGCGGGAGACATTGACAACGCCTTCTACCGGCTGCTGATGCCCGAGGGCTTGTGTCGCTACTTCAGGCTCCCGCCGATCGACAGGCGGCACTTGGAGGCACGCGGCATTGCAGGACTTCCTCATGCCACCAGGGTGCAGGCTTGTTTGGTCGTGCTGCCGATGGGCTTCTCCTGGGCGCTGCACCTTTGTCAGCTTGCTCTGCGAACAGCGGTCTCGCGGGCCGGCGTGCCAGGCCACCTCATCATCGAGGACGGCCTCCCCGGCGTCGTCGGGGAGCCGGAGGGCCAGGCCGCCGTCGCAGGGCACGTGGACAACTACCTGGCCGTCGGCGGTGTCGAGTCGGAGGCCGACCGCGCCCTGGATCGCATCACCGCGGAGCTGGAGGGCGCTGGCGTGAGAGTCCACGAGCCTGAGCGGGCTTCGGACACATGCAGCTTCTTGGGGATGGAGCTGAGGCAGGGCCGCTGGCTTGCCATCAAGGGGCGATCTGTCTGGAGGCTGAAGCTCGCCATTGAGGAGCTGCTCAGGCGCGGTCGCGCTTCAGGGCACCTCGTGCGCGTGCTGGTAGGCCACCTGACCTGGGCCTCTATGGTGAGGCGTGAGGCGCTGGGGCTCCTCAACGCGACCTACGCCTTCATGATAGCATCCGGCGCGGAGGTGCAGACTCTCTGGCCCTCCGTGCGGACTGAGCTGTGGCGCGCCCGCTGTCTGCTGCCGCTCCTCGCGGCGGACCTCACCGCGCCCTGGGCGACGCGGCTCGTCGCCAGTCACGCCGGCGAGGGGGGGCTGGGCGTTTGCCGTCGGCAGGCCTCAGGCGACCTCATCGCCCGCTGCGGGCGTCTGTGCGAGCGGTGGCGGTGCCGAGTTGAGGGTGGGGCTCGCGCCAGAGACAGAGCTCTTCAATCCACTGCTGCTCTCCGCCCACCCCTTGCATCGTCATCCGTTTCTGCCCTCCGCGAGGCCACGGGAAGGGAGGACGTGCTGATTCACAGTCAGTTGGAGTTCGACTCGGCTTCGCCCGGCACGCTGGACCCCGACAAGCTCCCCGAGGACCCCGACATGGAGCTCCACAGCGAGGGCCCCCTGGTCTTGGATCTCGGTAGTAAGCTGAAGGAGTTCGACGAGGTGCCCGCTGGTCTTTTGGATGCTAAGTCTTGGAGGGGTGCGGTTGCCACGAAGGTCCAGGCGGGCCAGAACATCTTGGGATTGGAGGCCGACGCCCTGGTAGTTGCTTGCAATCACCTCTTGAGGTCCTCAGCTTGCCGCGGCAGGCGGGTTCTGGCGTTGGTCGATAATATGCCGTTGTGTCTGGCCGTGGCGAAGGGGAGAGCAGCATCAACATACTTACAACTTCCATTGCTTAAAATTTGTATGATGTCTCCCGCTACAGGAACGAGATTGTACTGCAGGTGGATTCCGTCAGAACGCAACCCTGCCGACGCTCTTTCTCGAGGGCGTCGCTCCTGGTTTTCAGACTCAGACGCCCGCGCTGGACAGCCACCCGCGCATGGCGGCGCGGCGGCCCCCAGCAGCTGCGTGGCCGCTGGTCCTGCGCCTGCCCGCGCGGAGGCTTCCGCCAGCTGCCTTGGAGGCCCGCAGCCGACGCGCCGCCCCGGCAGGGCGGCTGGAGGCCGAGCGGCCGCCGGCGGGACAGCTCGGCACCCTGGAGACCTTGGCCATGCGGACCAGCCCGAAGGCGCAATACCGCAGGATCCTGAGGGAGTTCGCGGCCTTCTGCTCCGTGAGCCGCCTGGTCTGGAGGGACTTCGACCAGCTCAACTCGGTGACCACCCGCCCCTCGAGCTACATGGTCGTGCACGGGGCCCCCGCGAGCCAGGGCTCTCCGTGGCGGGCGCCCCTGGCGCACTTCCTGCCGGGCCTCCAGGGCTCGTGGAAGGGCCATCTGCCGCGCGCCACGAGGAGCTCGATATCTTGGGCGCGTCGCGTGCCCTCGATGACGCAGGTGCCTTTGCCATCCTCGCGGCGGCTGCGCTGGCGGGGCTGCTCGCCGTCAGCGGGCGCCGACGCATGGCGATAGGGATCCTGCTTTCGTTCAACTGCTACCTGAGGCCGTTCGAGGCGCATGGGTTGCGATGGGGGCTCTCCTGTGCGCTCAGCGGCGCAAGCAGCGGCCTCGGCGGCCGGCTGGGCGCTGCTCCTGCACCCCACCAGCTGCGGCCGCCCAGGCAAGACCAGGCTGTGCAACGAGAGCAAGGTGATAGATCTCGACCGGCACTTGTGGCCGCTGCTTGCCGGCCTCATGGCCGCCGTGGGCCTCGACCCGAGCCTGTGGGATTTCACGCTGCAGGCCCTGCGCGACCGCTTCGGGGTGTCCGCGGACTTGCCGCAGCTCCAGGCCCTCAGCCCGACCCTCAACGCGCTGCGACACAGCGGGGCGAGCTGGGTTCTGCTGGAGGGCCGGAGGGCGCGGGGGCGAGCCCTGAGGCACGGCCGACGAGCCTCGCCGGGCAGCATGAGACTCTACGCCAAGGAGGCCTACTTGCAGGATGCCATGACCAAGGTTCCCGACTGGGTCTTCGTGTTAGGCCGCTTCGTGCACACCAACCTGCTAGGGATTGTCGAGCTGGGGTCCGCCCTCGCGCAGCGGCCGCGCCCGTGGCAGCAGCTGCCCGCGCCCGTGCAGGCGCGGATCGGCGCCTCGCTGCCATAGCCTCGCCGGCGCAGGTCCAGCGTCACTTGAAGCGGCTGCTCGCTCAAGAGTTGAGGGCCTCTCGCAAGCGTAGGCATGGAGTGTTCCTGGACTTTTTGGGGGGGGCTGGGAAAGTCGCGAAAACCCTCAGGGCCGAAGGTTTTGGAGCCCTCAGCCTTGACCTCCTGCATGGCCCCTGTGAGGATCATCTTGATAAGACGTTTGAAGGGCTCGTCTCGGGCTGGATTAAGCGCGGTCTCATCTGGGGGATTTTTCTGGGCACCCCGTGTACAACTTGGACACGGGCCCTTCGCAAGCCCCTCCGTGATGTTGCCGCGCCCATGGGGTTGCCCAATCTCAACGAGAGCGAATCCGCCCGAGTTCGAGTAGGGAATGCGACCCTCCGCTTTTCGCGCCGCATCCTTTCGTTGGCCAATGATCTCGGAGTGCCCGTTTTGCTGGAGAATCCCCAGACCTCCCTGATTTGGGCGGCTCCCAGACTAGCCCGTCTTGGAGCTCAGCCCGAGTCTGATTTCGTCGTGTGCCACCTCTGCCAGCACGGGGCCCGATGGCGGAAAGCCACCAGGCTTCAGGGATGGAACATTTAATGTTTTGAGCCCCTGGCTCGCAGGTGCAATGGAAAGAACGGGATCTGCTCTCGCACCGGGGAGCGCCACGTCGAATTGTCTGGGACGGCGCCAGGCGGTCGGAAATGGACCAGCCTGGCTGCAGCGTACCCCCCTCCTTTCGCTCGTGCTGCCGCGGCAGTCCTCGCCCATTCATCTGAGCAAATGCATGGATTACGCCTCGGAGAGATTCTGTGCACGTGAGTTCTCTGTTTCCTGTGCTTAGTGGAAGCCCCGTGGGGCTCCGGCCTGGCGGCCAGTCTGCCCGTTTGGGAATCGGGATCTGTTCTGGCTGATGTCTCAGCGGGGCGCGACGCCGTGCCCCGAACTCGCGGCCTGTGGAAGCCTCTCGAGCGCGCACACTGGAAATATGTATCAATACAGCTGACGCTGCTTGGCCGCCTAGAAGCGCCCGTACTTGCTGGTAGATTTAACATCGTGAAGCGAGGAGGGGAGCGGGCAGGCGGCCGCACCGCGATCGTCGCGGCCGCACTGCTCAAGCTCCGACCCTCCCATCCCAACCCTTTCTCTCGGTCCACTTTTGTACATTACCTGTTGTGGGATCTGTGCTGGCTGATGTCTCAGCGGGGCGCGGCGCCGTGCCCCGAACTCGCGGCCTGTGGAAGCCTCTCGAGCGCGCACACTGGAAAGATGTATCAATACAGCTGACGCTGCTTGGCCGCCTAGAAGCGTCCGTACTTGCTATATTTGTATATAGTGCAATGTGTGTGGTGCAACGTAGGTACTCTAATCTGCTGGTGCAGAGTATGTTTTGCAATTCGCCTGTGGGACTCACAGTTGTCAACCTTACTTCTCGCGCACTCATCCCACCCACCCGTCCGCAACTTGGTTCGCAAAACCCATGCGGCTGCACTCGGGATAAGTGCTTGGCGTTTGCTGGTGCATCTCTGCGGCCAGCGGCCGCGCATGCGCGCGCGCACAGTGGCCAGCGACCGATGGGCACTTCCCGGCGGGCACTTCAGTGTGAGTCGGTCACTTGGGCAGGCGCCGTAGAATGGCGACGCCGACAACGGTAGACACGATAATGATAGGAGCGATGATTGTGATGATGGTGGCGATGACAACAGTAAAGCCAATGACGGTGCTAATGTTGATCACGCCCGCCGGTAGCGGGGGGCGTGATCAACACGTGCGAAGGGTTTTGAAAAAAGGGGGTTCGACATGCGTGCGCGGCCGACGCGCGCGAGTGGCCCGTATGGTAATCTGCGACAAGGAGCGATCCCCCCCAGCACGCGCGCAAGGGCGTTCGAATGATTTCGACTTGCCTCGCGGGAGGTCCGTTTGGTCGAACAGAAAAGCCGAGTGTTTCCGAACAGTTCTCAAGAGCGCGCGCGCGGGCATTTCTGACAACCGCTGTTTCAACACAGTGTGTCCTCATAACTTTCCGGGACAGCGGCTTTTGACATCTTTTGGCAAGCGTGCGCGACGACACGCGCGCGTGCATGTCGTTTTTTTTTTACAAACGGATGATTGCGACAGCACGTGCGCAAGGGCGTTCGAAAGAGCTCGACGTGCGCGCGCGAGAAGTACGTTGGGTTGCAAGTGGAAAAACGTTGAAAACAACGATTTTCTGCATCCGAGAAATCGCAAGAACGCGAATGCATTTTTCTGTATTGGGATTTCTTGTTGCGAAACTGTCATTGTTTAAAATGTGTTGTGGCCACCCAATTTTCAAACCCAAACGAACCCGATTTTTGTTTAAGTGTTTCCAGCATGCGCGCGCGACGTGTCGCGCGTGTGCACTTTGCCCCGTTGTTTTACCAGTAATTGATGTCTTGTGATTAACGAGTGCGTGCATGGTGTTTTGTCAGAGGGTGATGGGGGGAACCGATAATTGGGCGTTCGCCCGGATGGTACGAATTCCGATTTAGGATGGACGATGCGGCAGAATACGTTCGTGTTCCCAGTCCCCAGCTTTGCGGCATCATCTCATGTGGCGCCAGCGGGTTGCATCGCAGTGTCCTAGGCTGGCTGGACAGTCTGAGGTCGCGGAGCTCCCTCTTGTCCCAGGGCACCCAGCGCGAACGTCAAGTTGCCCGCTCTCTTCTCCCCGTCCTCCTCCTTTGCTTCCTCCTCCCTCCTTGGCGTCGTGGCCGCGGCACTGGACGTCGGTGTCTCCGGGCCGCTTTGCGGCCACTTGGCTACGGCCACGGCGCACGGAGTCTAGGTAATGTCGACTTGACTGCGAGGAAGTCCGGTTTACTAAGCCCCCTCCCTCCTCGCCCTCCCGCGCTCGCCTCCCGGAAGCGGTGCTCCAGCTACGTAGCCCTTCTGGGTTGGGCCGGCATTCCGTTTCCTTTGCCTGCCTCCTCCACGCTCCCCCAATGCACGTCTTGAAATGGGGTCTTGCGTCGGTGGTGGACAGACCTCCTACCCTGACACGTCGATTAGTGAATTGTCCGTTTTCGGTTCTCGAGAGGGCGCCGCGGCCGTCATTTTCCAGGCTTGCGCCCGCCAGGTTTGGGCCCGAGGTTGTTTTCACTAAGCCACGTTTTACTAAAGGGAGGTCTGTCCATCCCCGATTGCGGCCCTGACGCCATTTTATTCTACCTTCCCAGTGCCGCTCTGTCCTGTTCGTCTGGAGGGCGCGTGACCCTGCGCGACCCCCGGCGACGGCGATCCCCCTCCCCTCCCTTTTTTTTTCCCTCTTCTCTTCCTCCTGCCCGCCCCTCTTCTGCCCCCAAATAGTGGTTGGTGGACCACTGTCTGCACAGGCAGTGCGTGCACGCAGTACTGCAGCCGCTGCTGGCCAACTCCAGTCTGTCTCATCGGCCCGGGCTCGAACTCTAGTCGCCATGGAACACCTCCGCGCATGTTTGGGCACCGCAGCGCCCAACCTCCTGGTTGCTTTCACCAATTGGCGAGTGCATGCACCCAACATTTTACTTTCCGTTCTGTCTCCTCCCCTCCTCTACTTAATCCCGCCCGCGGCGCGATTGGATCCCAGCCTTGTTCTTCCCCGTTGCGATTGGCAGGGAATTTGGGATCATAGGTGCTGCAATGCTTCTTCTATTAATGGTCGCTTGGGCCACGTTGGACGCACGCATGACGCCATTATTCCTCTTCCTCCTTCTCCTCCTCGTCCTCTCCCTCCTCCCTGAATGTGGTGACGCTTGCCCTGCCTGCCACTCCAAAACAATGGGTGCCGCTCTCAAGCTTCAGAGTGGTACACGCCCGAACCCATGCGCTACAATGGGAACGATTAGAACCCCCATGAGGGGAAGCGGATTGGATGGTCAGCCGAGCTTGTCTAGGCACTGGATGGGCATCGTGGGCTTGTGTTCCAAGGTCGTGTCATGGAACAACTCTCGGGGGGGTCGATCTTAATACTCTCCTAGAAATTGGAAGTCTACGCTGTGCAATCTAGGTGGTGCAATCTCAGTTGCGCAATCTAGGCGGCGGCGATGGCGACCACATAATCGCCAGATCGACGGGCAGGCCCAGACGACGGGCGGCGACGATGCGGTGACGGGGCGGCAAAGACGGCCACACAGCCGCCTGACCGGCGCAGAGGCCAAGACGACGGGCGGCGACGAGGTGGCGAGGGGGCGGCGTCGGCATCCACGTAGCCGCCAGACCGCCGCGCAGGCGACAACGACGCGCGGCGACGAGGCGGGGACGACGACGACATAGCTGTCAGACCGATGCGCAGGTCATGCTTCTTTTGACAAGTACATACGAGCCTCTATATGCAAGCATTGTTGGGGAAATGTTACGATTCCACTACAAAGTGTGGTGGTGTGCTAGATGCAACGTAAGAGGGAGCATAGGCTCATGGGGGGAGGCATCGGCCCCCCATCAGCCAGTCATCGCCGATGCGAGCCCGATAACCCACCCCGCCAGGGCAGGCTCGGGTTCGTTATCGGGGGCCTATCGCCGATCCATCGGCGCTGCATCGCCGACTCCAGATCGATGTCCCCCCCTGAGCCAGTCCCCAAGTAACATTCCCCTTCAGCTGGGTGGCGGAGAATCCCTTTCCATCCACCGGTTGCCTCACCATCAGCTGTGTTGCCGCGGCAGTGCGGGCCGGGCTGCGCGCGCGGGGTGGCGGCGGCCTCCAGGGGTGACGGCGGGCGCGCGCGCGCGGGGTGGCGGCGGCCTCCAGGGGTGCCGCAGTCGTTTGGTCGTCGTCGTCGTCGTCCCCTCCTCCTGCGCCGCGGGGGCGCGTTGGGTAAGACGATTGGAGGAAGGGGGGGAAAGGAAAGGAGGGATTTGGATTGCGTTCTGATTCGCCGAGGAGACGGTCACCTTAGTGATGCATTCACTAGGTGCTGGCAGAAACACGGGATATCCAACAGCACGGGCGCCAAGGTGTAAATGTTCCACCCGACCATACCCATACCTTAGTGCGGGGGCCGTCTACAGGAAGGGGGGGCCACCCAAAAACGCTAACAGCCAGGCCGGGAGGCACAACTAAAATGTAATATTCAAAATTACGTTTTTGTCCGAAGGCATGGTTTGGAAAATCCAGAATTATTGTTTGTTGTTGTTTTTGCCCTGAAGGACTGTGTGTGCTTGAATTCAGAAATCGTGATTTATTGTGGGAAGGCTTCGCCTCTTTCGCCCTTCTGGAAGTGCTGTTGCACGATGAACGCCACGTGCGAAACATGTTTGTGGGGAGTTCCGTGTGTAGTTTCATTCGCGGTTGATCGCGTAGTTGGTTTCGTTACTGCTCGTATCCATCACGGTCCACCCAGCAATAGTACCCAGGCGAAATGTCTTGATCTGGGAAGTGCGGGAACATTCCGTGTAACGAAGAGAAATTGATGGGGAAGCCGTCAAACTGAATTTCGTGGGTCAGCCTGGGCGCGCCCGGGCGCGAATGCACATTCGCGGCCCTTGCCGAAACAGGCAGGGCGCAGAAGAATGATGAGGAGGCGGGGGAGGGGGAGGCGGGGGGGGGGAACACGAGGAGGACGAGGACTAAAAGGAAGAAGGGGGGAGCGACGGGAGAAGCAGGAAAGGGGCGAGCAGAAGTATGATGACATTGACTGCGCAAGCTTTGGGGGGGAGGAGGAGGAAGAGGAGGGGGAGGAGAAGGAGGAGGGGGATGAGGAGGAGGAGGAGGAGGAAAGGAGGAGAAAGAGGAGGAGGATTGGGCGAGGAAGAGGAGGAGGAGGAAGGAGGAGGAGGAGGAGGAGGAGGAGGAGGAGGAGGAGGACGAGCGTACAACGCGCACGCGCGCGTGCGCGCGAGGTGTGATTTCTGCATTGTTCTCAGCGGTCTGGCAACGAAGGGGCCTGGAAACGAAGGGGTTCTTGGGCGGTGACCGAATGGGCGTTCCAGGTAGCGCGGGGCTGCAGCGCGCCAGCCAAGTGGCTCAGCGCGCAACGCGCCCGCGCGCGCGCGCCGGCGCGAGCTGTGAATTCTGTATCATTTATAATAGAAGTGCCGCAATGTTGGCATGGACGCTCAAGTGGTCCCCTAGCGGAGACCGATTGGATTTCCGATTCACCATGGGTTTGTAGCGCGTCGGTGAAGTGGCTCAGCGCGCAACGCGCCCACGCGCGCGCGCGGGCGCGAGCTGTGAATTCTGTGTTATCCACAAAAGAAGGGCAGTCGTGCTGTCCTGGAAACTAAAGTGGCCCCCCAGCGGTGACCGACTGGATTGTCAAATTGACATGGGGATGTAGCATGTCGGCCAAGTGGCTCAGCGCACAAGTCGCCCGCGCGCGCGGGAGCGAGCCGCCGCTCTGCGTTATCCAGAACAGAAGGGCCGCCATGGTGGCTTCGGAGTTCAAGCAGCCCCTTAGTGGTGGCCGATTTCTTTTTCCAATTTAACATGGGCTTCTAGAACGTCGGCCAAGTGTCTCAGCGCACAGCGCGCCCACGCGCGCGCGCGAGCTGTGAGTTCTACCCGCAATAGCAGGGCCGCCATGCTGGCCTTGGAAATCAAGCGGCCCATTAGCGGTGACCGATTGAATATCCGAGATAGCTCGAGTTTGTAGCGTTTTGGTTAAATGGTTCAGCGTACAACGGGCCCACGCGCGCGCGCGCCCGCTTGCGCTCGCGCGCGCGAGCGTTGAATTCTGTATCACCAACAATAGAATGGCCGCCATGTTTGCTTAGAAACTTAAGTGGCCCCTCAGCAGTAACCGACGGACTTCCAAGTTAGCAAAAGGTCGTAGCATGCCGGTTAAGTTGTGCAGCGCACAGAGCGCCCGCGCCTGTGCGCGCAGGCGCGAGCTGTGAACCCTGTATTCTCCGCAATGCAAATGCCGCCACGTTGGCCTGAGAACTCAAGTGGCACCTTAGCGGTGGCCGATGGTATTTTCCATGTTAAACATGGGTTTGTAGCATGTCGGCCAAGTTGCCCAGCGTGCAAGGCGCCTCGCGCGCGCCCGCGCGCGCGCGCGAGTTGTGAATTTTCGTATTACCCGCAGTACAAGGGCCGCCAGGTGGCCTGCACACTCAAGTCGCCCCTTTGCGGTGGCTTCCAGCATGTCAGCCAACTGGCTCAGCGCGCAACGCGCCCGCGCGCGCGGGCGCGAGCTGCGAACCCTGATCCAAAGTAGAAGGGCCGCCGTGTTGGCATGGAACCCCGGATTGATTTCCAGGTTAGCACTGGTTTGTGGCACGTTGGCCAAGTGGTCCAGCGCTCAACGCACCCACCCGCGCGCGCGCGAGTTGCGACTTCTGGATCACTTGGTTATCCATAATAAAAGGGCCGCCACGATTGCCTGGAAACTGAAGTGTAATCCTATCGTTGGCTGATTCGATTTCCGAGTAACCATGAGTTTGCAGCGTGCCGATTAAGCTGTAAATTCTTTATTGCACGCAATAGAGTGGCCGTCATGTTGGTCTGGAATCCATAGTGGCCCCTTAGCGGTGGCCGATTGGTTTTCCCAGTTTGCCTAGGGTTGCCGCATGTCGGCCAAGTTGCTCAGCGTACAACGCACCCGCGCGCACGCGCGGGCGCGAGTTGTGACCTCTGCATCGCTCACAACAGAAGAGCCGCCGTATTGGCTTGGAAACGCAAGTGGCTCTCTAGCGATGGCCGACTGGATTTTCAATTTAACATGGGGTTGTAGCATGTCGCACAAGTGGCTCAGCGTAAAGGACGCCCACGCGCGCGCGCGAGCAGTGACTTACGAACTATCCACACCAGAAGGGCCGCTACGTTTGCTTGGAAACTAAAAGTTGCCCGTTGCGGTAGAAGATTGAATATGCTAGTTAGCATGTGGTTGTGCCATGTTGGCCAAGTAGCTCAGCGTACAAAGCGCCCGCGCGCGCGGGCGCGAGCTGTGAACTCTGTATCATCCACGACAGAGGACCGCCGTGCTGGCCTGGCAATTCAAGCGGCCCCGTGGCGGTGGCCGAATGGATTTCCAAGTTAACATGGGGTTGTTGCATGTCGGCCAAGTGGCTCAGCGCACAACGCGCGCACGCGCCCGCGCGGGCTGTGCATCCTGCACTACCCACAATAGACGGGCCGCTGTCTCCTGGAAACTCATGTGGCCCCTGAGCGGTGACCGATTGGAATTCCGAGTTCACATGGGCTGGTAGCAAGTGGCTGAACGCACACAGCGCCCGCGCGCGCGCCCCCCCCCCCCCCGGCGCGTGCGAGCTCTGAAAGCCGTACCACCCGCAATATCGGGCCCTTTATGTTGGCATGGAAGCTCAAGTGGCCCCTCCGCAGTAACCGATTGAACTTCCGAGTTAACATGGGGGTTGTCGCGTATCGGCCAGGTGGCTCAGCGTACACGTCGCCCACGCGCGCGCTAGCTGTGAACTCTGTATTTTTTCCACCGTACAACGGCCACCATGTTGACATGGAAAATCTAATTGGCCAATTAACGGTGACTGATTGCATTCCGAGTTAACATGGGCTTGTAGCATGTCGGTCACGTGGCTTAGCGTACAACGCGCCCGCGCGCGCGAGATGTGACTTCTGGACTACCCACATTAGAAAGGGCCGCCATGTTGTGGCCAGGAAACTCAAATGGTCCCTTAGCGGTGACCGATTGGATTTCGAAGTTAGCATGAGTTTGTAGCGTGTCGGTTACGTGGCTCGATTTACAAAGCGCCACCGCGCGCGCGCGCCCGCGACCGCGCGAGCGCGAGTCGTGAATCTTGGGTTACCCACAAAAGAAGGGCCGCCGTGTTGGCCTGTGAACGAAGGTGGCCCTGAGAGGTGACCGACTGCATCTCCAAGTTAACATGTGGTTGGAGCATGTCGACCATGTGGCTGAGCGCGCAACGCGCCCACGCGCGCGCGGGCGCGAGCTGTGAATTCTGTTGTGCCCACAATAGACGGGCCGTTATGTTTGCCTGGGAACTCAAGCGGCCCCTTCAGCGGTGGCCGAATGGATTTCCAAGTTAACATGGGGTTGTAGCACGTCGGCCAAGTGGCTCAGCGTACTACGCGCGCGCGCGGGCGCGAGCTGTGCATTCGGCGCGCGGCGGCCGCGGGCCTTTCTGCGTGGGAAATAAACGCAATATGCGAGCGCGGAAATGCAGCCACACGCACTGTGGCCATGGGCCACTACGTAGGTAGGCGAACATACGGTTGCAAGGGGCAATGCCGCCGCGCGTTAGGGCGGGACACCATATTATGCGCGAGGGGAAAGCGCCGAGGCCATGTGCGGCCCGTGTTCAGCGCAGCCCGGTCGCCCCCGGCCTGGGGCCTGGCCCGGCAAGCAGCCCTGCCCACCCTGACCGGTACCCAGCGGGCTGGCCCCTCGCCCACCCAGTAGCTCGGCTGGTGACCGGCCGGTGGCCCGGCCAGTAAGTCCGCGAACGCGGCGGGCAACCCTGCCGGTAACTCCACGAACCCGGCCGGCAACCCTGCCGGTAATTCTACGAACCCGGCCGGTGACCCGGCCCGGCCGGTAACCCGGCTGGTAGCCCGGCTGTCAACTGCGCGCCCGGCCGGTAACCCGGCTGTTAGCCCCAGCCCGGCTGGTAACCCGGCTGGTAACCCGGCTGGTAACCCGGCTGTTAACTCCCAGCCCGGCCGGTAACCCGGCCGGTAGCCCGGCTGGTAGCCCGGCTGTTAGCCCCAGCCCGGCTGGTAACCCGGCTGGTAACCCGGCTGGTAGCCCGGCTGTTAACTCCCAGCCCGGCCGGTAACCCGGCCGGTAGCCCGGCTGGTAGCCCGGCCCTTAGCTTGGCCTTGCAGCACATTCTGTAGCGGAGCTACAGCGCCGCTACAGAACGCCGCAGACGGCCGGCCCTTTGCCTGGCCGGCAGCCCGGCTGTAACTCCGCGCACCCGGCCGGTAGCCCGGCTGTTAATTCCCGCGCGCCCGGCTGGTAACTCCGCGCACCCGGCCGGTAATTCGGCGATTTTGGTTGGTAACCTGGCTGGGAATTCAGCGAACCCGGCCGGCAATTGCGCCAGATCGGGCAGTGGCCCGGATGGAAATTTTGCGCGCGCGGCGGGTCCCGCAGCCGGGAATGTCGCGGGTTAACCGCAGGAGGTCCCCCCCCCCGCCCCCCCGAATTCTTTGGGACGAAAACAAGGCCCCGATGCCCCTGGCCCGCCCCCCGTGGATGCTTTTCCCGTGATTAGCCTTTTGGGCGCGTTTGCACCCATGGCCCACTATTGGTCGCCCGCTGGTCACAGCAAGCCGCGGCAGCCGGCGCAGGAAAGCCATGGCGCGCTGATGGCCATGCACTTAACAGTTCGTGGAAAACCATTGGGCGCCGCGCATTTGTTAAGTGTCTGGCCGGAGAACTACATTTCAAATCGGGTTTTCCCTTAGGGTTTTGGCGTTCACACCGACGACAAACGCGCGGGAACCAAAGTGCGCAGCGCGCGCGCGATTTTGCGCTGCGCACTATGGTTTCCGCTTGTATGGTCATCTGTTGCGACGAGTATTAAATTGCGCATCGTTTGGTTTTCGCGTTCACATCGTTCACAAATTTATGGGACGAAACCGTTGTGCGCACCGAAACGTCGCGCGCGCGACCTTGCGCTGCGCGCTGGCTTTCCCACGCAATTATCAACTGCATGGCCATCTGTTGGGGCCAGAGAAATATTGCTTACATGATGCATTCCCGATTTGGACTTCGAGTTCGCATGCGTGGGAAGCCATAGTGCGAAGCGCAAGGTCGCGCGCGCGCGACCTTGCGCTGCGCGCTGTGGTTTTCCACGCATTTGCTAATCGCGTGGCCATCTCCTGGATTCAGAGAATTAAATTTTGCTGAGAGTTTTCCCTATTGATTTTCACGCTGACATCGTTGACACATGCGTAGAAAACCTCAGTGCGCAGCGCAAGGGCGCGCGCGCGCGCGACCTTGAGCTGCGCAATATGGTTCCCCGCTCATTGTCCAACGCGCGCGCGCGACTTTGCGGCGCGCGCTGCGGTTTCCAACGCATTTGCCCATTGTACGGCGAGTCCTTGGGGCCAGAGAATTCAGTTTCACATTTGGTTTCCCCGCGCGCGCGCGTGGTGAGTTTTGGATTGCCCCCCATAAGCAGATCGTTTTGTAAAGCCAAAGACTGAATTTATTTTTACTTGTGAAGTAGTAAGGGGGCCGACGGAGGCGCGCAGTTCTGCATGGCATTGTGGGCAATACAGAACTCCCTACGCGCGCGCGCGGTGAATTCTGTAGCGTCCACATACAGAACTACGCGCCCCCCTCGGCCTCCTTACAGCTTCAAAGAAAAGTCAAATTCAATGTTTGGATTTACAGGGCGATCTTCTTATTGTGGACAATACAGAACTCATCACGCGCGCGCGCCGCGGCGCGGGCGCGTGTAGGAAGTTCTGGATTGCCCACAATAAGAAGATCGCCTTGTAAATCCAAAAACTGAATTGAACTTTTCTGTGAAGCTTTCTGGAGGCCGACGGAGGCGCGCACAGTGAGCGCCTTGAGTAAGGAACACTTACTTTTCAAAAGGGGCTCGGACGTTCCTTAGGTTTGCATGCGTTCCGCTGCCTTTTTGGCGGCGAGCCCCCCCGGTGTTCCTTGCGATTTTGGACGCGCGGGTTCGTTTTGTCGATCGGGGCGGACGGTCTAAGGAACGGGGCTCCACGGGTGGGCTCGGTTCCTTGCGCTTGCTCGACGTAATGCGACGGCGGTCGCGTATAAGCCCTGCGCCTCTCCGGGGCCTTCCCGTTCTTCGCGGGGCGCGCGCTGGAGCTTTCGCCCGTTCCGCGCGCCAGGGCGCGGGGCATTGAGGTCCAGTTCCTCGCAAGGGCCCCCCCCGTTTCTTCGGCCACGCGGTTCGGAGCTCACTGGCTCGACATAATTGAACGGTGGCTGCGTTATGGTCCAGCTCCGTTCTCAGGCCCCCCCGTTCCTTGCGGGGCGCGCGCTGGAGCTGCCTCCCCTGCATGTATCCGCATGCCAAGGTATGGGGCATTGAGGTCCAGTTCCTCGCAAGAGCCCCCCCCGTTCCTTCGGCCACGCGGTTCGGAGCTCACTGGCTCGACATAATTGAACGGTGGCTGCGTTATGGTCCAGCTCCAATCTCGGGCCCCCCCGTTGTCGCCCCTGCATGTATCCGCATGCCGAGGTGGGGGCATTAGTTCCTTATGTCGCACCTTAGGTCAAGACCTTCACTGTTCGCCTGCGTACTCATTTTGTGCTTTGCATCCGTGGGTTTTCATATTTCTGAAACACGTGGCCGCCCAAGGCCTTTGCACTTGGTCACCCCTGGGGGCGCGAAGATTATTGCGCCTCGCGCGTCGCGGCCCGGGCAGGAGAGCCGCCCTTGTCCAGGGCGGCGGCGCAGGGGCGTGAAGTTCACCGCGCGTCGCGCATCGCGGGGCGCGATAATCCTCGCCTATCTACAAATTTGTACACGTAAGGCTCCGCGTGCGCCGTTTGGTTGGTTAAGTCCAGTGTGTTGGTTGGCTGGTGCGCCGGCTGGTAGGCAGGTTGGCTGGTTGAAGAGCCGTTTAAGGAGGCTGACGGAGGCCGGGTCACCCGCGCGCGCGCGTGGGGAGTTCTGCATTGTCTACAATATAAAAATCGACATGTTATTCCCGAAACTAAATCTAATTTTTTTCTGGAGCCCTTTAAGGAGGCCGACGGAGGCCGGGTCACCGGCGCTTGCGCGCGCTGGAGAATTCTGCATTGTCCAGAATATAGAAGTCGACATGTTATTCCCGAAACTAAATCTGAATTTTTCTGGAGCCTTTTCAGGAGGCCGACGGAGGCTGGGTCACCGGCGCTCGTGCGCGCGGGATAGTTCTGCACTGTCCAGAATATACAAGTCGACATGTAAAGTGCCGCGTTTGAACATGTTTTTTGTTTTGTTCTGTTCTGGAACCCTTTGAGGAGGCCGACGGAGGCCGGGTCACCCGCGCGCGCGCGTGGGGAGTTCAGCATTGTCTACAATATAAAAGTCTACATGTTATTCCCGCAACTAAATCTGATTTTTTCTGGAGCCCCTGAAGGAGGCCGACGGAGGCCGGGTCACCGGCGTTCGCGCGCGCTGGAGAGTTCTGCATTGTCCAGAATTTAAAAGTCAACATGTTATTCCCAAAACTAAATCTAAATTTTTCTCGAGCCCTGTAAGGAGGCCGACGGAGGCCGGGTCACCGGCGCTCGCGCGCGCGGGATAATTCAGCATTTTCCAGAATATAGAAGTCGACATATAAGTGCCGCAACTGAAAATGAATTTGTCTGGGGCCTTTTGAGGAGGCCGACGGAGGCCGGGTCACGGCCGTTCTTCGGCCAATGCTCCTCCTGCTTGCGCGGCGGTTAAGTTAGCGCTTCTCCTGGCCGCGCGTTGCTTTGTATAATCAGTACGTTTCTCATGTCCCGCACGTTAAGCTCCAAGCCCAACATGCGCGCGGATATTGCGGGGAAGCCGTCTGGCGCTCCAGAAAGCAACATCGCTTGCGGACCCGCGCGTTTGAGACGATGAAACCTTGCACTACGGGAAAGGGTGGGCGGTGGCGGAAGCTCCAGCGGCATGGGGGCCCTTTCGCGGCGCGGAAGTGCGCGTCGGCATTCGACAATTCTCCTTGTGGCACCCGTGGGGCGCGGAGCCCGTTCGGGTGCGTTTCCGGGCTGGCTGCTGGGCAATATACCGCGATCCGTTTTCTTTGTTTCCATTTACAGATGATAATGTATATATATATATATATAGAGAGAGAGAGAGATAGAGAAAGATGTTTGCGCTGCCGTCAATTATGTTAGCCGCGCCCTGGTCTAGCTTGTGCCCGTCGCGACTCAAAAGTTTGGCTCGCTACGTGCACGTGCGTGTGTGTGTGTGTGTGCGCGTGTGTGTGTGTGTGTGTGTGTGTGTGTGTGTGTTTGTGCGTGCGTGTGCGCGTGCGTGTTTGCTTCGATTTTGGCGCGCCCGCGCGCGCTTTGGTTGCGCAGCGCCGTCTTCAAAGTTGGACGGAAACAAATGGTATTGCGACGTTCTCGAGTGATGTCGCGACAGGTGTGCGCATCGCCGAGCAGCGGACGGTTTTTCCCGTCGCTCGTAGCGTTTGCGCTTGCGCGGTGGACGCGCTCGCACGTTGAAGCTTGCGTCCCCTCAAGGCGCGCGCTGCCCTAGAGAAGCGGCTGCTTTCTCACTCGCGTACGCCGCGCGCCAAATCCAACATGTGCGCTGTTTGTTTCGGAAACCCTTCGGGCGTTGTACCAATGAGCATCGCCTGGGGGTCCCCGCGTTTGAATCGATGACACATCGCCCCATGGCAAAACATGCCTGGCAAAAATCAATGCCTCGTGGAATTCTGAATATTGCAAAGCAGCCGATGGCAAAACAGGCCGCGCAAAAATCAGTGCTCAGCGGAATTTTGAAAATTTCAAGGCGCTTCGTCTGTCAAATTCGTTTTTTTGTGTTTTCATTCCGCGGGCCAAGAAGTTAACAGCCATGGCCTGCTAATGGTCGCTGTAGGAGACCCCCTCACTAACCCATACCCAACCCATACCACCCCCATATCGTCGGAAGGCGCTCAAGGCGCATCGCAACGCAACAGGAGTAGGGAAAATGGCAAGAGTGAGGCATATCAAAGTGGGGAGCAGGTGAGATGGCCTGCGAAGGGCCGACTAGGCAGCTGAGCGGGCGGGTGCGAGGCAGGGGCCAGCGGGAGTGCACGAGTTTCGCACGCTCGACCTGAGGCCCATGCCTGCGCCAACGCCGCAGTGCGAACTTCGTCCCCGCCAACAGACCTAAGCTCCACCTTGGGTCCCGACCAGAGCAAGCTGAACGCAAGGAAAGGGAAGTGGGGAAGGTGAGACTGCCTGGCGTCTCCAACGCTAGTCCCTGCTAGAGACCGAACGAAGAGAGAAACACCAAGATCGCTATCGAGGCAGAGGCATCAACAGCATTTGTCTTGAGTCACCATGCCGTAGA